GAGAATGATCCAGGACAGACCGAAACGTCGTCGTCCCTTCACTTTCTAGTGTGTGGTTTGGTCGTCATGTGGTAATAATAAGAAATGACATTGCAGACGAAGCTGCAAAACTTGCAACTAAGAGAAGAAATGTAGACATTTACATACCACAAAGTCTGTCATAAATTAAGAAAGTAATTAGAAACAGAGCAATGCAAAAGATGTACAGTGACCACAACACAGCAGTTGCAACATCAGGATCTGCGGGTTGGTACAAGAATTCAACCAACTATGAACCACTTAGTTTGATGAAAGGGAGCAGTAGAACAACAGAAGTACACTTACATCGCATCAGGCTTGGATACCCTTGTGCATGGGAAATAGGCTTACAGGTTCCGGAAGATGAGAGGAAATGTCAGCACTGTGGAGAAATGCCAGACAGACCACTGGAACATTATCTAACACAGTGCACAGTTACAAACCCATTAAGATTTTACCTTAGATTCAATAGAGCAGGAGAAGTTGTTAAACACATGGGACAAAATCTTACTGAAGCGACCATACGAGTCATAAATACTCATACTCCGCCCAAGTAAAACAGAAACAAGCAACACTTAGTGGGTCAGCCAAAGGCTTAGGGCCCGCGCAGTGGGCCAGCCAGAGGCTTAGGGCCCGCGCAGTGGGTCAGCCAGAGGCTTAGGGTCCGCGCAGTGGGCCAGCCAGAGGCTTAGGGCCCGCGCAGTGGGTCAGCCAGAGGCTTAGGGCCCGCGCAAGAATATCCCTGTACAAAAAAAAAAATCGGTTTTCACGCTAGAAAGATTGAACGACATCACATCACCCACACAAATGTTTGAAGGAGGTGAAGAGAATAAATTAAGGGATATATACCCATTACATGCGACACAATCTGGAAGACCATTGACAAACTAAAAGACTCGAAAGCCCCAGGTGTGGATGGATTTCAATCCAAAGTCGTAAAGGAACTGGCAAATGCACTATGCATACCACCGAAGTTCCTTTTCAGCAAATCCCTGGACCAAGGGATAATTCCCCTGAATTGGAAATATGCAAATGTTTCCCGTATTTTCTAAAAAGGCAGAAAGAGCTCGGCAGAAAACTACCGTCCGATCAGCTTGACATCACACATCTGCAAGCTCACGGTGAGAATCCTAAAGGAAGGAATCATACAACATCTCACAGAGAACAATCTTGTAAAATCAACCCAACATGGGTTTGTTAAAAGCAGATCCTGCCTCACTAACCTTCTCACATTTCTGGAAACTGTTACCGGCTATTCAGACAAAGGACTTCCGGTAGATGTGGCTTACATGAACTTTGCTAAAGCTTTTGACAAGGTGCCACATTAGGGACTGGCAAGGAAATTGCAGGCACATGGAATAAGTGGGAGAATACTGGAATGGATAAAACAATGGTTTAAACAGAAAACAAAGGGTCGTGCTATATAGGGAATGAATCTGACTGGGAAATGTGCTAAGTGGGGTACCACAGGGGACCATTTTGGGGCCAACCATGTTTGTCATATAAGTCCATGACATAGATGAGATTATTACAAACCACATCATCAAAATTTGCAGATGACATTAAGGTCTATGACAAAGTGGGAAGTGATGGTGATATTGAGACCTTACAAAGAGAGCTACATGAACTCCACAAATGGTCAGACGACTGGCAAATGCTTTTTAATATAGATAAATGTCCACCTTGCATGTGGGGCATAACAATCCACGTCACAACTACCAAATTGACAGCACTTCCTCACAACAAATAGTCAAATAAAAGGATCTAGGAGTCAAAATCCATCATCCACCAAAAGTTGTACAACAAGTGAAAGCGGCAATAAAAAAAAGGCCAGAGACAAGGCACCATTTGGGAGATGAAATTCCTTTAGGAAGAGGAAGAAAGAGTGTGATGTTAACCCGGGGGTTAACATCACGCTGGGCCTGTCCCCTGAAGCCCACATCAAGAAAATATCATCAGCTGCATAAGCTAGGTTAGCTAACATAAGAACTATCTTTGAAAATTTGTGTAGGGAATCATTTAGCACCTTGCATACCACATATGTGAGACCAATCCTTGAGTATGCAGCTCCAGCGTGGCGTCCGTATCCAGTCAGGCATAAGACAAAGTTCAAGAAGGTTCAAAACTATGCCACCAGATTAGTACCGGAGCTGAGGGGTATGAGATACGAGGAAAGATTTCTGGAATTAATCCTCACGTCACTTCAAAACGGAAGATTTAGTAAATACGTGATTACATACACAATTCTCACGGGAACTGATAGGGCAGAGAAAGACAGACTATTTAACATTGGTGGGACGCGAACAAGGGGACACAAGTGGAGACTGAGTACCCACATGAGCCACAGGGACGTTAGAAAGAACTTTTAGTGTCAGAGTAGTTAACAGATGGAATGCATTAGGCAGTGATGTGGTGGAGGCTGACTCCATACACAGTTTCAAATGTAACTGAGCCTAACAGTCTCAGGAACCTGTAGACCAGTTGTCTGACGGTGGAGAGAGGACTAAAGAGGCGAAGCTCAACCCCCGGAAGCACAACTATGCGGGTACACCAGCGACCACATACACTGGGGTCCGGACGTGTCCTTGAACCATCACCAACATTAACTTCCAAATAACTTCACCAACAACATGCCCCAAACGATATATTATTTGCAGCGCCCAAGGACGCACTTGTTGAAGGGATGCTCTGGGCGCTCAAGGGTGACAAGTGTGCGCTCCAATGGTGTATTAACTACCTGTGTCTGCACCATCCACCTATTAGCTCCTGGACCCCGCCTTTATAACCAATCTATTTTTTCCTCTATTATAACTATTACATATAATTCTCTCTAACACACGCACAAACACACACACACACACACACACACACACACACACACACACACACACACACACACACACACACACACACACACACACATGAAGCAGCCCGTAGCAGCTGTCTAACTCCCAGGTACCTATTTACTGCTAGGCGAACAGATGCACCAGGATGAAAGAAACTCAACCCATTTGTTTCCGCCTCGGCCGGGAACCGAACCCGGGCCCTTAGGACTACGTTTCCCCGAGAACTGTTCATTCAGCCGCGACGCCCCCGTCGTTTTAGGGAGGTAGATCATACTTAGGAAAGAGGGATGGATGGATTGGATATATGGGTGGGTGGATAGGGCAGATAGATCCATGGAATAGGGAGGTGTGGACAATGGGGCCAGGAGGACGGGGGGGGGGGGGAGTAATCCACACAATTTATTGGATGATGCTTCTTCGTTATTTGTAATGACAATACCATCAGCTGGATGAGTGGTGAGGATGATATAGTGACAGGGGGATGGTGTTGACAGGACGTGTGATATAGTGACAGGGGATGGTGTTGACAGGACGTGTGATATAGTGACAGGGGATGGTGTTGACAGGACGTGTGATATAGTGACAGGGGATGGTGTTGACAGGACGTGTGATATAGTGACAGGGGATGGTGTTGACAGGACGTGTGATATAGTGACAGGGGATGGTGTTGACAGGACGTGTGACATAGTGACAGGTGATGGTGTTGACAGGACGTGTGATATAGTGACAGGTGATGGTGTTGACAGGACGTGTGATATAGTGACAGGTGATGGTGTTGACAGGACGGGTGATATAGTGACAGGTGATGGTGTTGACAGGACATAGTGACAGGTGATGGTGTTGACAGGACGTGTGACATAGTGACAGGTGATGGTGTTGACAGGACGGGTGATATAGTGACAGGACGGACACAGAGTGGCCAACAAAAGGATGTCACCCGCCTGGCCCTAAGCCTCTGGCTGCCCCACACTATCACACATGCCAATATGGCTGACGATGGCTCAGTATTCATGACTCGTATGGTGGCATCAGTAACGTCATGTCCGAACACCTGTAACATCTTCGTCTGCTGTGTTAAATCTCGGTGATAATCTCATTTGCTTTGTAACAGCGCCATGTATGATAATATTCCGCTAGTCTGCTGGGGATTTCTCCACAATGTTGACGTTTCTTCTCCAGCTGGGGAAGCTGTAAGATAAATAATTCGCCACGCACCTTGGCTGGGATGCCTGCGTCGTGGGGTGCAAGTCTACCCCTGTTCGTCTCTTGTGTTCACTCGACAAACTTAGTGATTCGTATTTGGTTGTATTTTTACCATTGCCCCATACCGATACGTTGTTGCTTGTGTGTTATAATCACTGTGCTTCTTCTCCGTTGCTTTAGTCGTAATTTGATCAATCTGCGCTGGATTGTGTTGTATGTCGCTTCACCTGTAATGTCATTCCCTAGTATTCCTACATGAATGGGGAATCCATTGGCAAGTCGTTGACAAATTTGATGTTTGTGTGTTTGCAATATTGCTATATGTGGCCAACTGGCTGTTGTTGCTCAAGAGATCCTGTTGTAAGGTTTCATTAGCTTAATCTATATGTATGATGGCGTGCAAGCAGTGTTCTGCAAGAACCTGTTCTTGAGCGTTCACAATGGGAGCCGTGTGAGTGCCGACGGCGGTGCTCAGGTAGCGAACACAAAGCGGGGCTCAGCAGCCCCATACGAATGGAAAACTTACCTGTAGTCATGGTTACTAATCAGGACCCAACGGCTCTCAACAACGTGTACAAAACGCCTCCAAGTGATTCCTCTCAGACGCGCAGAGGAAATCTTGTAAAATTTAAGAAACAAAATCCAAGTCTTAGTTATATTTATTATTATGTTGCGGGGGACCAGCATATCACAGCTGCACTGACAGATTCCTGTATATTGAACGATTATATCACACATGTACTCCCTGGTGGGCTGACACTGGTGGGCTGACACTGGTGGGCTGACACTGGTGGGCTGACACTGGTGGGCTGACACTGGTGGGCCCACACTGGTGGGCTCACACTGGTGGGCTCACACTGGTGAGCTCACATTAGTCACTGTAGACGCGCCTGGTACCGTAGAGGTGTAATAACCAAGAGCGTCCTCCCACAGGTGGTCAGTATGGCTACTGTGTGCCTCCAGCCTCACCAACGGCCAGTTCAGTAACCTCCGGCCACTACGAGGAGTCCTGCATGACCTGGGAGGCTTCGGGGACCTCAGCAACAGCGTCAGCAGCAGCAGTAGCAGCAGCAGCAGCGGCAGCAGCAGCAGAAGCGGTCATACGCCCGTGCCTCAAGACGTGACCGATGCCTTGAAAGCGGGATTGGATATTGCTCAAGAAATACTAGACATGGAGACAGCTGAAGGTAATTCTTTAAGTTTTCAAGTCCAATAAATATTAGAGATAAATGGTTGTATATGCAACAATGATAACAAAAAACAATGATCACAAGTTTGCGGAAAAAAACACTTGTGAAAAATAGAGAATGCTTAACGCGTTTTCGGCTACATCGCCTTCATCAGAGCAAGGTAGAATGAAGGGATTCTACTTTGCTCTGATGAAGGCGATGTAGCCGAAAACGTGTTAAGTATTCTCTATTTTTCACATGTGGTTTTTCCGCGTGGTTGTATATTTATAATTGAGTTATAACCCGACCACTTGGACTGGACGCTAGAGCGACGGTCTCGCTCTTTGCAAGTCGGCGTTCAATTCCCGACCGTCCAAGTCGTTGGGCACCATTCCTTTCCTTTGTCCTACCCTAAATCCTTATCTTGATACTGTGTCCAAGAGCTGTAGTCATACTGGATCAGCTCTTTCTCATAATTGCTTTACATTATAACTGACTTTACACAAAATTACAGTAAATTATTTATATAAAGGAAAGCCACAATAATAGCACACCATGAAACTTTATCATTATATTCTGCATAATATAGAGTTAGATGCTCCATTTGCCCCAGAGTACAGTACAGAACACTGCACCACATTTGGTGCAGTACAATGTGGCCTGAGGGAACACGTGCACAAGCACAGACAAACATACAGCTGACCATTAGAGCTGTGAGACTTGTACTGGTAGAACAAACAACATATAATTAGCATGACAAAACAATTTAATGTCATATATATAAACTAATTCTGCTGTGAAGTTATGTCAATTTGCACAGATTCAGCGTTGTAAAATCACTACTCCATATCAACACATTTTGGGGCCAGTCTGGACCAAAATGACTCTGCACGATTAGTCCAAGTAACACAGATCTGATTTCAATGGGATATAAAATGCTGATCAATAAGCAGAATCTTTGTGGTAGTAATTCATTAATACTATCCAGCATCCAGCTGGGTATCTTCCTGCTTCCTCTGGCGACTAGTACCTATATTATATCATGTAGGCCTGCCTCACCATTATATGCTTTAAGGCACAGACGACGTATATATATATATATATATATATATATATATATATATATATATATATATATATATATATATATATATATATATATATATATATATATATAATCGGAATTAATATTTCCTGGTTGATATTTGTTGAGGAGTGTGAGTGGCCAGTGATCAGTAAGTGCCTCAACAAAGTCGTTTGTGTGTGTTGGGGGCAGAGATTCCTCTCACACGAAGGGTATCATTAGATGGATGTTGTTCTCAAGTGTAGAGTAGTGTGGACATGAGGCCAAGTAGGAGACTACAATGAGTGTGAGGATGGACATGCGGGAGAGGTCTTGCACATTGCCTCCATTCGCAGGTAACCTTACTAAGGTCAGCATTCCGTAGGTCCCCCAGGCTTCACATCCAGACAAGCTAAGACATTGGCCGATAAAGAACTTTACTCTCCTTCAGGTCTCTAGATGACCAGATCAGAGATCACTCGTAATTTTCTCTCCTTCAGGTCTCTAGATGACCAGATCAGAGATCACTCGTAATGTTCTCTCCTTCAGGTCTCTAGATGACCAGATCAGAGATCACTCATAATGTTCTCATCTTCAGGTCTCTGAGGCCGTCAGAGACATTGACAAGTAGGTCCTCTGAGGGTGTAATGTGCCCCGGTGACTTTTCGGAATTCTTTATCGGTTTCTCTCTGTACAGCAATTTTTAAGATCTGTTTAAAACAAAATTAGTGATAATAAAGGAGACTTTATTTCATAAAGTTAAAGAGGACATAGATAAACCATAAAGCAGGCTTTAACGGTAGGCTGTATTTGACACTAACTCTTCCGCATAATTCTCTCTATTTTTCTGTAGCATCTTTGGCCAGTGCCGAGCAGAAAACATTAGTTTAGTACCACCTATGTGAGCGTCAGCTTTACTGGTTGTTAACTCTTTCTACCACAAAAGTGTCTCAATTTAGATCAATTTACTAATTTTTTCCCATGTTTCAATGTGTGTCCTTCATGTATGAGCCCATGTATTAGCGTGGTGGCGGCAGGCAATCTGCATAATCAACCTCACTTGCAAATTGACTAAAAATAATGCTGCAGAAGTCAATGTCAGTGACTTGAGTCGGTGGCAAGCGAAAGTGATTTTTAGTTACATTGATGTAAAGAAGCGTGCAGCAGGTGGCCTCGTTAGTTCTTACACGCCTCACACTGATGTTTAAAGATGACCGGAAGTATTTAGGGATGATAAGGTTGCTTACACCACACACTTCACCGCTCACCTTCCTTACCTGTACACTCTCCCACTGGGACCTGCTTTCACAGTCACTCGCAAACACATCCGTGTTCACTTAAAGTCACTAGCACCCACGTAAGCGACACTCACCAAAACAGAGTTGCCAGTGAGTGTGTACTTGCCAGTGAGTGTGTACTTGCCAGTGAGTGTGTACTTGCCAGTGAGTGTGTACTTGCCAGTGAGTGTGTACTTGCCAGTGAGTGTGTTAATGTAGGTGTTTGTCTGGTGGAGAGTATTGTGGAGTGTGGGAGTAAAGGTTATGTCCGTGTCCTTGCCAGGGACCCGTCTGAGGACCACGCTGGAGGACCACCCGCTGGAGCAGAGCGCCATGCTTCTTTTCAACTTCAGACGCGCAGAGCCGGAAGCCAAGCGAGCTGCCGCCTGCCAGGGCAGACTTCTGCTGGAGGCTTCCAAATTCTACGTGAAGAGGTCAGTCCCTATTGCCTTGCCTCTACCCTACGATGTGAGGAGGTCAGTGCCTGCTTCCTTGAGTCAGAGGTCGTTCCTACCAGCACACACGAGGCTAGACACGTGTGCCTAACTGTCCAGTTACGAAACCTGTACATCTTTCGTCAATCTCGGCGGATTAGTTGATATTTTATTAAGGAGTTTGTGGGCTCCGAGGCGCTGCCAGGTGGTCCGTAAGAATAACAACATTAGTTTGAGAAGTTTCGTAACGAGTAATCTGTTCTATTAATCCCATCAAAGCCGCCATTATCGTGGAAAGATGTACAGGTTTCGTACGTGGAGAGGCTAATGTTTGGTGAATCCTGGGTATGAAAGGCAACATGCTCCCTCTCAGTGCTTATACCTTAACCATCCGTATGTCAGTACAGGTCTTGATCAATACACAACACGTGTTAATACACAACACGTGTTAATACACAACACGTGTTAATACACAGCACGGGTTAATACACAACACGTGTTAATACACAACACGTGTTAATACACAACACGTGTTAATACACAACACATGTTAATACACAACACGTGTTAATACACAACACGTGTTAATACACAACACATGTTAATACACAACACGTGTTAATATACAACACGTGTTAATACACAACACATGTTAATACACAACACGTGTTAATACACAACACGTGTTAATACACAACACGTGTTAAGTGTTAATACACAACACGTGTTAATACACAACACGTGTTAATACACAACACGTGTTAATACACAACACGTGTTAATACACAACACGTGTTAATACACAACACGTGTTAATACACAACACGTGTTAATACACAACACGTGTTAATACACAACACGTGTTAATACACAACACGTGTTAATACACAACACATGTTAATACACAACACGTGTTAATATACAACACGTGTTAATACACAACACGTGTTAGAGTAAGGGGTAGAGAGTATAGTATGGAGCACTGGCAACATTAACATTAATGAAATACACTAGAGTCAGGTTGTGGGGTATGTTGTGTGACCTGGTGAGTGTGTGTGTGTGTGTGTGTGTGTGTGTGTGTGTGTGTGTGTGTGTGTGTGTGTGTGTGTGTGTGTGTGTGTGTGTGTGTGTGTGTGTGTGTGTGTGTGTGTGTGTGTGTGTGTGTGTGTGTGTGTGTGTGTGTGTGTGTGTGTGTGTGCCCCTGGGGTGTGTGAGAGTGACCTGGTGTGTGAGAGAGTGACCTGGGGAACTACCTCCTCGTTTCCTCGACACTGAACCCCTTGTTAAGTGTCTTGTATAATTATATTTCTGGGAAGTACTTGAACCTGTTATCTCAAGCTACCTTGAGTTGTTGTCAGGATAACCCAAGAGATTATCACAACTTTCCGTATAGGATGACTAATAATTCTCACAAATATGGCACCGCCATATTAAACACTTCTCAAGATACATATTAAATTAATTTTCTAGATTTAAAATGGTTTTAGGCCTATTCGCGAGTATCAATAAATATATCACCAGTTATATGCTCAAGACACTCATTATCCCTCACAAGACAGAAACTGACAGAGGCGGGACCAGAGAGCCGAAGCTCAACAGCCAGCAAGCACAACTAGGCGAGCACGTGTTTAAGATTAATGGATGAGGTAAGGTAATTGTGAGGAGAGAACGGCACACCAGTGGCACTGTTCAGCACTTGGACCGGGATTAGGAGAACAATGATCTGGGATATGACGACAAATGGGTTGGGATATGTGACCTAGAGGTTGGGATGTTGGGATGAGAGACCGTCGCTCTACCCACCAGTCCAATATCAACGTGGGTGATGGAGTTTACATTGGTCTACCTCATTTGTCTCACTCTCCTTGTCTACCTATTCCCCTCTCTTCTCCCTCCTCCTCCTGCCCCACCGCAGCCATCATACAGTCAGGGGAACAAGGTGGGCGCTGCGACAAGTGGCAGGAACTGCTGCACTTGATCGGGATGTGGCCAGAGACGTACCTTCAGGATGCCGCCTCGGGTATACAGGCAGCTGCAGGGTTGGTCAACACTAGCCATTACATAACTCTGGACGATCTGATGTCCGGTTACTTACATGCGAGCCTCTTTGATCCTCTCAAGAGTGTGTTAGATAGCCTTAATAAATGGGGACCCGTGGCTCAGCGAGTCACGGGTCCAGCGCCCCACCACTTGCCGGCACGATGGCAAATCATGACATAACTTGTTATAAAAAGATTCATATTCCATAAATGTAGATTCGAAGTCTGTGTTAGTAAATGTTAGTATTGTCGACGAGTGGAACACTGCTTCTTCCCTCCCTCCCCCCTTCCTCGTCTCTTTGTGCTTCGTAGCCTCTCATACGTCTTGGGAGACGACACGCATACACGGATATTCAGACCACTGAACGACCTGGTGTCCGGTTGACTACGCTTACTGGAAGGTGCATTCGTGAAGTGTGCGTGCGTGCGTGCGTGTCACAGATGTGGCCAAGACTCACTCATCCCTCATGACCCATGATTGGGCGAGCGTGGGAATCCTACCCGGATTTGGGAAATGATCTAAATGCTTCACTTAACTCGGGGAGGGGATGATGATAGATGGGGTTACCTTGAGACGATTTCGGGGCTCAACGTCCCCGCGACCCGGTCCTCGACCAGGCCTCCTGGCGGATAGATGGGGGGGGGGGAATGAAGGACGAGAATATCAACTTACTCGATTATAATAGCCTGAGGATAGACGACCTTGCTACACGATTAATAACTTGTTTATCTCTTCAAGGCTGGAGGGCAGATGTTAAGGGCCAGCCTCACTCAACTTTGCAGGGTGACAGGTGATGGGTTGGTGACTAACATAGGTGGGTCGGCACCATTGCTCCAATGGTGACTTCCATGAAATCCTATTACATACATATACAACAACGATCACGAAAACACTGATCCAATTATGAGGAATAACCACAATAAAAAATAAGGGAATGCTGAACGCGTCTTCGGCTTCATGCCATCCTCAGAGCATAGCCCTTCCTCCGAATAGAAATACGGTTTAATACTAAATGTAATAAGTTCATTCTTCACTGTCGGCATAATACAAAAATACACTTAACTGTGCTACACTTACCTCCCCCATATATTCTCTTCCTTTCGTGTTAATACACTCAAAATTTTAAGATCAAAGATTAAGAACTAAATTCCATATCGTCAAGTTTTAAATGTAAAGAATTTCTTTTTCAGTTTTATTAAATAATAGAGAGTTTATATAAAATTTGAAAATATCCGAAGTTACTTTATAATTTATTGAAATAATTTAGTTTTGTTTTATTAGTTTTGTAAAATTGTAGTATGAATATAGCTATAGGTTAAGTATTAATTGTAATTAAGACGCAATAAATGCTTTTTACATGCTTGTCCTCCTACACTTACACGATTACGTCCTGGTTTTCTATAAAGCTTTTTAGGTAAACTATAATATTCACAATATTTTGGTGCGATGCTGGAGATTAAGTGTATTTATGTACTATGCCGATAGTCAGGATTGTACTTATTACATTTAGTATTAAAACGGACTGTCTAGTCTTAGGATGGGCTGCAGAGCAAAACAGTTCAATGACCCGGCCAGGATTCGAACCCATAACGTCTATGATCACCCCCAAACGTTCACAGTACCGTGACCACCTCACCATAGACCTCTGTACGGGGTTAAATATATATATATATATATATATATATATATATATATATATATATATATATATATATATATATATATATATATATATATATATACATACATACATACATACATATATATATCACCAGTTATATGCTCAAGACACTCATTATCCTTCACAAGACAGAAACTGACAGAGGCGGGACCAGAGAGCCGAAGCTCAACCTCTGGCAAGCACAACTAGGCGAGCACGTGTTTAAGATTAATGGATGAGGTAAGGTAATTGTGAGGAGAGAACGGCACACCAGTGGCACTGTTCAGCACTTGGACCGGGATTAGGAGAACAATGATCTGGGATATGACGACAAATGGGTTGGGATATGTGACCTAGAGGTTGGGATGTTGGGATGAGAGACCGTCGCTCTACCCACCAGTCCAATATCAACGTGGGTGATGGAGTTTACATTGGTCTACCTCATTTGTCTCACTCTCCTTGTCTACCTATTCCCCTCTCTTCTCCCTCCTCCTCCTGCCCCACCGCAGCCATCATACAGTCAGGGGAACAAGGTGGGCGCTGCGACAAGTGGCAGGAACTGCTGCACTTGATCGGGATGTGGCCAGAGACGTACCTTCAGGATGCCGCCTCGGGTATACAGGCAGCTGCAGGGTTGGTCAACACTAGCCATTACATAACTCTGGACGATCTGATGTCCGGTTACTTACATGCGAGCCTCTTTGATCCTCTCAAGAGTGTGTTAGATAGCCTTAATAAATGGGGACCCGTGGCTCAGCGAGTCACGGGTCCAGCGCCCCACCACTTGCCGGCACGATGGCAAATCATGACATAACTTGTTATAAAAAGATTCATATTCCATAAATGTAGATTCGAAGTCTGTGTTAGTAAATGTTAGTGTTGTCGACGAGTGGAACACTGCCTCTTCCCTCCCTCCCCCCTTCCTCGTCTCTCTGTGCTTCGTAGCCTCTCTTACGTCTTGGGAGACGACACGCATACTCGGATATTCAGACCACTGAACGACCTGGTGTCCGGTTGACTACGCTTACTGGAAGGTGCATTCGTGAAGTGTGCGTGCGTGCGTGCGTGTCACAGATGTGGCCAAGACTCACTCATCCCTCATGACCCATGATTGGGCGAGCGTGGGAATCCTACCCGGATTTGGGAAATGATCTAAATGCTTCACTTAACTCGGGGAGGGGATGATGATAGATGGGGTTACCTTGAGACGATTTCGGGGCTCAACGTCCCCGCGACCCGGTCCTCGACCAGGCCTCCTGGCGGATAGATGGGGGGGGGGGGGGAATGAAGGACGAGAATA